CCGCCCCTCCCGCGCTGCGCCCCCCGGCCTTAGGGCTGGGAGGGGATCCGGGCACCGGGCACCTGCGCTCTGGGGCACGAGCGGCCCACCCGCTGGCCCGGGTGCTGGCCCCGGTGCCAGGCGCACCCAGCACCCCGGCTCTGAAAGCGACGCTGGGAAGCAGCGGTCTGGCCTCTGCACACGGCCCGCTTCCCAGGCTGGAGTGCCCCGTGGGTCTCACCCCCAATGCCCCGCGTGCGCGCCCCGAGGGCGCAGAGCTGGCGAGCCGGGAAGCGGCTCCGCCCGCAGAGCTTTGTGTCCGAAGGGCCTGCGGAAGGCCCGCAGGGAAGCCCGCACACTCTAGGCTTGTAACTCCAGGCTGAAGCCACGTCCGGGCAGCTGCACCTCCAGGAAGGCCGCTGGCTCTCCACCAGGATCCAGCTGCTCTTGGCTCCTTCCGCCAGACAACCCTACAATCTGCTATAGATGGGACAAAGAAGGGGGACGGAGAAGACACCTCTGCTGTCCGCAGGGGAGTGACCCAGGCCGCCTCCTGCCCAGCTTCAGTTTTCCCCGTCTACCACAAGATCTCATGGACCCTGCAGTGAGGATTCTGGGAAGAGGAGCCCCCATGTTTGTCTCAGTGAGGACACTTGTCACACTGGGCTTCAGAGAGATCAGGATGGGAGGAGGGTTAACTTTGTCCACTCCTATATGAGCATCTAGCCCACTAGAAATGCAATGTGAGCGGCGCTGGTGGCTCATACCTATTATCCTCGCTACTCAGGAGACTGAGATCTGAGGACCATGGTGGGAAGCCAGTCCCTGCAGAAAAGTCTGTGAGAGACTCCTATGTCCAACTAGCTAGCCAAACCTAGAAGTGGAGGTGTGGCTCAAGGGGTAGAGTGCCCGCAGGGAACAAAACAAGCATGGAGCATGAGGGCCTGAGTTCAAGCCCCAGTATCAGCACACACATAAAAAGCAAGAACTAAAAAGCCAGAAGTGGCGCTGTGGCTCAAGTGGTAGAGTGCTAGCCTTGAGCTGAAGAGCTGAGCACCCTGGCCCAGAGTTCAGGCCCCAGGACCGACCAAAAAAAAAAAAAAAGCAAGAACTCATAAAGTTGTTGTCTTTCAACACAAGTATCATCACAACCATCACAAACATTCTGATTAACCTGTAATTCCAAAGCTGGGTGCTGGGACTGGGAAGGTGGCTCAATGGTAGAGTGCTTGCCTTGAGCTGAAGAGCTGAGAGACAGCGCCCACGCCGAGGTCAGGCCCCAGGAAAAAGCTGGATCCTGGAGGCTCATGTCATGCCTATCAGCCTGGCTATTTAGGCTGAGATACAAAACCAGCCTAGGAAGAGAGTCCATCTCCAAAATAAGCAACAAAAGAATGAGCTAGATGTGTGGTTGAGATGCTGAGCACCAGCTGAGCAAGCGAGCCAAGCAAGCCTGAGCCCAGAGTTCAAACCCACTCTACTGACCACATGCCTCGGATGGAGCGGAGCATCACGCCTGACTTCCAGCCAGTGGAGGCCAGGTGAGGGGTCAGGCCTCTGGGTGGAAGAGTGTGAGGACCTGAGCCAAGTCTGCACCTTGGCTTTGCCCCAGGGCAGCAAGGGGGATGGGCGGAGCAACTTGGGCTTCATGCTCCACCCACCGGCCACAGAACAGATGCCCAGCCCTGACGTACGTGGAGCCAGGAGGCTTCTTCAGCCGCCGTCTCCCCTGCCTGCACAGTGAACCGGCAGACCAGCCCCCACACCCAGGACCGCTGCTCACGTGGCTGGACCACCTGGGCAGAGGATCAGGCCACAGTGGCATTGGCCCTGGCTGGGACCTTAGGCTCTTGGTGTGTGTGTGTGTGTGTGTGTATGTGTGCCCTGTTTGGGGACCACAGGCCAACTGGGTTGAGGCCACCTTGGCTTACCTGACGCCCGTAGCCCTCCACGGCCTACCGGTGTTGGTAGATGTAGCCCCCTCCCTGACAGTGATTGCACTGTCTATGAGAACTCAAGCAGAAGAGTTCCAGAATGCCTGAGAGCAGTTGAGTCATTTGATAACCCTTTGGCATTGCCTTGGATTGCTCCCTATTCAGGGAGAAGACCGAGGTCTCCCAACGTATCCAGACAACTGAGCAAACCCCGGGGGCTTCGACCCCAGGCGGGCCCCTGCGTGGGGCTGGGCAGCTCTCGCCATGCCCCCGAACCACCTTCGAGTTCCCTCCTGCCATGACGTTGAAGGCCCTGCTCCACACCAGAGAGAGCCAGCAGCTGGAGGTGCAGAATGCAGTGGCCGTGGCCTTGATTCGGGAGGTTGCAGTCCTTCTGCGATGACAGCAGTGGGATGGATGGCGGCCGGCCCAGCAGCACTGACTGGGCCTGCGGATGTGCGGGCAGCAGACATCAAGGTGTGGAAGAGAGAGTCGGGGGAAGGGGCAGCTGGGATTTGGGCAGTGGGGTTTACTCGGCCCCACCGGGACTGGAGATACGGCTCAGCGTGGTGTTCTTGTCTGGCATGTGTGTCTCTGGGTTCTATCCCAGCACTGAAACTCACACGGCTCCCTGGAGGCAGTCTTTCCAGAAGGATGCCGCTTCTCCCCAGAACAGTGAAGTCCTGCGCTGGGGAGAGAGCCTGAATGCAGCTAGGAGACCGAGAACAGCTGATGCAGTTACTGCAAAAGCCCTGTGGCCTCTGGGTCAAAGATGAGGTCAGACAAGCCAGGCACCATCACATACACCTACAGTCCCAGAACGGTGGGGGCTGAGGCAGGAGGCTCTCACGTTCTAGGCCAGCCTGTACTACGCAGAGCGATGTGGTGAAATGCCCAGTTGTGTAGGGCCCTGGATGTGTGGCCTGGCCTCAGCATTTCCCACCCTGCTTTGTGAGGCTGCAGCGCAGGACTGCGGGAAGTGCTGGAGAAGCAGGAGCTGGCTGTGGTTGGGAGGGGGGCCAGCTGCCACGAGCCTCAGCGACAGGTGGGGACAGTGTGGACCGGGGATTTTCAGCCAGAAGGACGAGCAGCCTCCAGACAGGAGGCCGCCCAGGGGTGATCACGTTTTGAAGCCAAGTGTGGTCAGAGCCGAGTCCTAGGCGGTGCGGCGGGGGCAGCATCCCGGGGTGGCCCCCATGGCTCTCATGACTGAGGCTGGGGTGGCGTGGCCACCAAACCAGGAACGACTTTGAACTTCCTCCTGAGGTTGCTGGGGAGGGAACTGCCCGTGGCATCAGGTCCCTCTGGTTTGGAGAACAGGCCAGGCAGCCGGAGGCCCAGGGGAAGCTGCACCAGCCCCCCGGCCCCCAGGGCTGCACCGTGAGCAGCCAGGGGCCTGGCCGTGGCGGAACAGCCCTGCCCACAGTGAGGAAGTGGCGCACAGGGGGAAGGAGGAAGCAGGAAGGCCCAGGCCCGGGGCTTCCTGCCCGAGTGAAACCCAGCCCGGCCTGAGGGCAGCTGGCCATGCCTCTGTAGTCCGACAAGAGAACAACATTTCCAACTTTCTTCCCAGCACATCCTCAGCCCGGAGCCTCGGAGAGGCTGCTTGGCGTTCCTGGCTGACGTAGTGTTGGCAGGACTCCAGTCTGACGCTCACAGCGGCCGGACGAGGGAGGCCTCCTCCCCCTCCTCTCCTGGGTGGCTGGGGGCAGTCCCGACCCCAAGGTGCGCCTTGGAAAGGGCGACTCGGGCCGCGGTTGGCCCGTGTGCTGCAAGCTACCTGGAAACTCTCCAGATGAGAGCTACGCCCACGTGTGGTTAGTCCTGCAGCCACAGAGGTGAGGCTGGCAAGAGGCATTCAGCCAGGTCAGGTGGGTGTTGCTTTACTGCCGGCCTTTTCCCCGGATAGCACCTGCCCACCATCATTAAAGACGGATCCCACCAGAGTAAAGGCCCATGGGTAACAAGCTCAGAGGAGGGTGCTGAGTGAGGCACCCCGAGTGGAGGCTGAGGACCATGTGGTGGTCATCACCACTGTGAGGACAGCGGGACATAGTCAGACTCGCTGACTGTGATCCCCGAACACTCGGGAGCTTCCCCTCTGCTCTGCTTCTGAGCCCGAGGTGCAGGGCAGGACTCCTGTCCACCAGCAGTGGCCCCGCTCCTCGTCCAGGCTCCCGGGAGGCCTCTTGGTCCCTCCTCTGCCAGGCAGCAGGGCCTTCCCGGGGTCACGGCTGGGAGACAGGGGAGCCCTGTAAACGATGAAAACTGGGGACTCAGGGTGTGTGAGCAGTGTGAATGGGACACCTCGGCCAGGCCTCGGCCTACCCACCCAGCAGAGCCTCCTGGGGCTTCCTGCAGAAGAGGAAAGAGGCAGGGTCAGCGCCGGCCCTGCCCGCACCCAGAGCTGCTGGAAAGGGTGTGCGGCTGGGCAGCAGCCCTAGGAAGTTCTGGCCGACTGGGTGCAGCTCAGGAGAGGTGGGGGGGGGTGGACAGCAGGGCGGGGCTGGCAGCATGGCTTTCTCCTCTCTCCCATCACCCCCACTGGGGGATGGACCAGCCGGGGCTGATCCTGAGGGATCATGGGGCTGGGGGGTCAGCAGAGACCATCCAGGGGCTGGGGGGTCAGCAGAGACCATCCAGGGGCTGGGGGGTCAGCACAGACCATCCAGGGGCTGGGGGGG